GGTTAGGTTAAGTTGGGTTAGGTTAGGTTAGGTTGGAGAGTTGGGCAGCCGGTTCATATATCACTCTTGGATCTGTATGCAAACTGTGAGGCGGAAGTTGGAATGAAATCTGTCAGCGCTGAACCAAAACTGATATTAGGCAACCTCCTTCCTCTCCTCCCAGCTGACAACTTAAACCCTGTAACCCTCTCCTCCTCCTCCTCCTAACTGACACTAACCCTGTATCATACTCCTCCTCCTAGCTGACATTCACCAGCTCTTGCTACGTAAACTATTCTTTTAATATTATAAACCATAGAATACACTTGACACTATACACATCATTTGGCACCATCATTTGACACCATCATTTGACACCATGGAAAGTGGAAGTGGCAATGAAGGTGTGTCATAGGCAGTGTGAACCCTCGATTGGCTTTCCACCAGTTCCACGTTCACATCCCAACCACCACACTGACTGAACAAATCCATTCCTTACAGGTTGGGTCGACAAGGGTTACACTGTACAGTACACTGACGAGTCAATCACCACTTGGGACGGGGGCCGAGAAGCTCTGAAATAAATTATTCATGGCGTAAATCCAGCTTTCACTTGGCTGAGGAATATCTGATGGCGTGTGTAACAAGTTTGGAACATGTTAACGTCAAGTTCAAAACAAGTTTACAGCTTCAATATTCGTGATCATCTGGGAACTAAGATTTTGATTATTTTTGCAGTAAATCTTATGTATCAGGGTAACTATTGGGTTACCTGATGATTATAGCACTTAGTTTATTTCACCTTGATATTAACCAACCTAACCTAGCGTAACCCAAACTGGTAACGTAGCGTAACGTAACCTAACGTAACGTAACCTTATCTACCCTACTTTAACCTAACCCTCTCAGGCAGAGTTAGGAAGTTTAATCATCAGGTGAAATAACTGGGAGTGTTGTTGGTGAGATAATCTTCACGTGATTTTAATTATTGAATATCATAACAGTTATTAAAACTCAGAAATCACGTGTAAGGGCGGAAACGATCTTCCTGCTCGTTACCTCTGCTAACTCTCTCATTTGCTGGTGCTGACGACACTTGGGGCGTTTGGACAGAGGTGAGAACGACAGCGACTATCTGGGTCACCAGCAGATTCGCCCCAGCCGCCATACAGTCACTATCTAGCTACCCGGCTGTTCGTCAAATTCTGGCTGTGATCTCATCATAGGTCCTGGACTCGTGGGCTGTCCCCAGACCTTCACTTACCGACTGTCAATTTTCTGGTCATCTACCACTACCACATACCACGACCGTCAGTTCATCTCATTCCGTCTGTGTCCCTGTGTTCTCCTGCCATTTCAAGACGTCGCTCGAGTATGGAGTTGAATGGACGCTTCCCTACCCCGAGTGTGGATCACCCTGTTCCCGGGACACTGCCTTAGGAAATATCTGTTCATTGTTTGATTCTATCAGTTGTTGACTCCCATTAATTGTTTGTTCCCTTTTATTGTTTACTTCCATTAATTGTTTGACTCCATTAACTGTTGTCTGCCTTAATTGTTTGACTCCAGTAATTGTTACTTGATGTTTGTTGAGTGGTGTCAGAGTTTTGTGTTATATTTTTTATAGTAAAGAGATGTCAATCTCAAACGGTTGTTTGTTGTTCCTCAGAAAACGTTGGTCCTTGACATTCCTTTATTAAGATCCTGATTAGTCTGGTAAGGGATTTCTATCCCTAAGTCCCAGGCCTTTACATCACGATAAAACATTAAAACAATTATAGTTTATTAATGCCTTGTTCATCAGATGTTATCAATTTTAAATGAATTCCCTGGTGCGGCCACAACGGGATGTTATGTCATGGGTCTGAGCTCTTCCTTTATTTGTCTTAGATGTAAGTTATCATTCTCACCATCTGTCAGGCGGTCGTCTGTTCTCTTATGAATTATATTTATTTGTACACGATTGTATGAATTACATTGATCTTAATATCGTAAAAAAAACACCAGAATATTAAGGTATAGGTATACGAAGAGACATTGTGGCCGTCACTGCACTCGGCAACTTCCACGTTCCTTAACTGTAAAGTAAGGTGCTCATACTCAGCTGGGTGAACTAGGGATTCGCAGGGCGTGAACCATCGGCAATTAGAACAAGTAGTGAGCGTTGTATCCATTCAGCCGTACCTTGTTTATTGACATACCTTGTTTATTGTTGAATGTTTATATCGGCGAGTAACATTTTCATGGTGGTAAGAGCCAATCATGGGACAGGATACCCAAAGTTCGCACGATAATTTTGTTCCCCTAACTAGAGAAGACTCGTCAAACAAACGTGTTAACTGCCATACAAAGATGTCATCCAAATTGGCGTTCATAATCACCTAAGACTTCACCGTGTCTAAGTGTGACCTGCTGTTCATAATATTAAAAAGAAAATAATGTATGACCTCGTGAGTGTGGAATCTGGCAGAACATCAGAAAAATATGTTGTTCACAGTCATTTTTCCCGCCTCTGCTGACGGTCGTGTAATATTTCAATGTGATTCTGATCTTTAAAAATTTTGTTTTTGCATAATGTAATCTGACTGATAAGTAATTAGTCTTAGTACGCCGTACTGTGGGTAAAAATAAGTATATATTAAATGCATCTTCCGAAAGCGTAAATTTGCTACCGGAGTTTAACAGCTAATTCATGTATAATACTTCTGATAAACATTCTACGTGCTTATGTTTGAAATAATGAATGTATGTATCTTTATATAATTAAGCTAAAAATCTTTCTCGTCAGAAACGGTCATCCCAACGATTATGAATAAACTCATTTAGAAATACATCATTACTTCAGGACAAAATCGGACAGGTTTTCTACAGCCAATCAGCTGTAACTTCTGAGGAGGGGGCGGGGCATCTTTTCTAAGCTGGGAAAAAACTCACTATGGTACTTGCCGACAGTACGTGACGGAGACGTGACCGGTCGCCCAAGCGGCTAACGAGCCGATCAGTGGTGAAGAGGATAAAAGTAAGTAAAAGTATTCCAAACGTTTTGATGACTAATACATTTAACAGAATAGTTTATTAGTTAACATGTTACGATTATCAGTAGAACACCCCGAGAGACAAAATCTTCTCAGGTGGTCTTCATGTGGTGAGGCATTCAGATAGATACTGGGAAGGCCAGGCCTCTGACCTTGTTACAAGCCTTAATGGGAAGCTTGAAAACAACTGGGGACTGACCAGAGCCCAAAGGACGAGGCGATTAGAGTACCAGAGTTATATAACGTCATCCGCAGACATTTGTATAGAGGAATGTACTGCGTCAGGCAGGTCATTTATGAAGCAAACAAACAGCGGGCGCAGTACACTGCCCTGTGGTACCCCGCTTGTGACGGGTACACAAGGTGATATCGTGCCATTGATCACCACACACTGCACGAAGAAAGCCTCCGATCCACACTAGGACATTTCCCCGAATCCTGTACTCTTCCAGTTTAATTTTCAGCCTTTCATGTGGTACGCTGTCGAAAGCCTTGGCAAAGCCTAGGTATATATTGTCGATATTACCACTCTGTTCCAGAATTTGTGTTCAAACATCCAGTACCTGTAGTAATTGTGTTAAGCAGGAGCGTCCCGGCATAAAACCGTATTGGCAATCCCTTACAAGGTTGTTTCGTAGTAGATGTTCCATCATGGCCTTTCTTATAATACTCTCAAGTACTTTACATACTCTGCTGGTCAGGCTCACCGGTCTATAGTTATTCGTGGAGTAATGATCGCTCTTCTTGAAGATAGGACTCGCAGAAGTCATTTTCCAATCACTGGAGACCTTTTGCTCATCTAGGCATTTACAGAACAGGATCTTCAGGGTCTCGGCAAGCTCTTTGCACAACTCTCTTAGCGCTCCGGGATGCACCATGTCAGGGCCGGGACTCTTATGAACCTTCAGCTTTACTTTACCTTTAGCCTCTTCACCACTGATCGGCTCGTTAGCCGCTTGGGCGTTGGGGTCTCTGTTACGCAGTTTTCTGGACCTGCGGCTTCTTCAATCTTGAGCTGTGACTCCTTGTGGGGCGAGCGTCCGCCAGCTCCTAATAAGGACACTCGATTGAGTAGTGCCCCTCGAGATGATTATACACCTCAGTTAGGTCGCCCCTTGCCCTTCTGTAGTATAAGCTAGGCAAGTTTAGGCGCTCCAATCTCTCAGGGTAGCTGAGGTGCAGGCACCAGTCTGGTGGCCCTCCTTTGAACATTTTCAACCAACTGACAGTCCCTAGCATATCTCGGGGACCAGACGGGGTGACAGTACTACAGCGCTTGCAACCAACCTGTGGAACTCCTTTTCAGCCCTTCTACACTGACTTTGCTTGGTTCCTGGCTCTTGCATACATCCTCCTGTCCTGCTCATCGTTTGACCTAACCCACGCCTTGAATTTCTGGGTTTTCATCTTAACTTTGTCGACCGCCGCATGGTTCATGTGTAGGGGTCTCCTTGTATTCCTAGATAGAGGCACTGGGTTTGGTCTTGGGTATATATTTTTCGATCAAATGGTTCACTTTATTACTTTGATATTCAGCATAATGTCTGCGTTCTTATGCCTTAGTGAGTCAGGTCAGTGGATACCCCTCATCCCGTCGTAATTTCCCCGTGTAATATTTGCACCTTGGCTAATTTTGTCGTGAACTAAGTAACAGTTAAATCTGAATGACAACATTACATGGTGGCTGGTGCCAACTGGGGCAACTTGTTCCAGTTTGGCCACCATCCCCCCCTCGTTTGCTCCCCTCTGTAATGCGCCGGGTCCTTAACATGTTGAACAGAAAATTATCTCTCAGAGTTTCTACAAAAAGAGTAGCAGGGTTATTTAAGTCATTTGGTGTGAACTCATTCTCGAGTCGATGTCGCCATAGTTAAAGTCCCCCATGATAACGTGTGTGTGTGTAATCTATCAAATTTATCAGATGTATCTATCACTTTTAATCAAATGTAATCTAATCTTCATCATTATAACGTCTTGTAAGTCTCCATCTGATGCCCAGGAAACTCAGTTGAGGAGGACTGAAGGTGTAATGTAATGTTGTTTACAGTAGTGGCTGCTGGACAACTTTCGTCTCTACTGTGCTATTTACTTACTTTACTGTGACATATTACTGGAATACACATTTATTGCGTCTATTAAAGTGTCCAGTACCATTACATAAAGTAATCAGTAAGTATAAAATTAGAGAAAGGGAATCTTGTTGAGCTCAGAATACCACTACCAGTACACTGTTAAAGGCAGACGTAATGTACCATAATGTGTTAATACTCGTTGACATGGTAACTAATAGTGGTATAGTGTAAATTGATTCACCATTGGATAACCCAAGAAAGCCAATATTGGACCATAGCCGTTGATGCTTATTACTGTATGCTTTAGAGATCAAGCTCTAGGATTTAGTTATTAATTTGACTAATTATTAATGACTAATCTGCGCCGATTTTTCATAGAAAACGATTATAAAAACACCACAATTTCACGGCTTTATTTTTACAGTGGACACTGTTGTAGTTTGTGCAAATGTGGGTAAAATTGCAGTTTCGGCCAATATGCCCAAGTAGATTAGAAATTAGTTTATCTTGTGTATTTTGGTGTGATTTAATCGAATTGGACTTTATTTCTGGGGGAAATTAAGAGTCCTTCCCCCGAAATTTTTTTTTAAATTTTTAATTTTATTTCTGACATTATTTTGTGCCCTCGGGTTGAAATGGGCTTAGAAATACTCCAAGTAAGGGGGTCTAAAGGTCGGCCGTGTATCCCCCCCAGGTAACAATACCTAACCTAACTTAATTTAAACTCACCAAACCTAACCTAACCCCCACATCGGTACAATCTACCCTAATTAGAAGTCTAGTGGCCATAGACTGTTGTAAAAGTCTGGAAAACTTTAAAATTCTTTTCTGAAGTTATTATTCTTTGCCCTCTGATAGAAATGGGATTAGAAATACCCCAAGCAAGGAGATCTAAAGGTTGGGGATGGTTGAAACAGTCGGCTGTGTTTTGGCCGAAACTGCAATAATACCCAAATAGGTTAAAACGTGGTTATTTCTAAATTAAACCTAACCTAACCTAACCTTAGTTGATATGAAAAGCAAGGGTTAATATTGACGACTGACCTGCGGACGAGTCATCTGTTTTGCTTTGTTTACTCTATTTTTATCAGTGAGTTCTGATAGGATAATAATTTCTCGTGCAAATGCTGCATTTGGTAGATATGAGGTGCCTAGGCCCGCACAACTTTGTCTTCTTTGGCGGTATAAGGCGGTGACGTCTCATCCTAGGCTACTGTATGAACAGCCTGATAGGTGTGTGGCAATATTAGGTTAGGTTAGGGTACGGTAGGGATAAAACCGAATATTTACCAATTCAAAGAAACTTTCTTCTATGACTTTTCTGCGGAAATGACTTGTATATGCCTGGGGGTCCAGGGGGCCAGAGGTTAGGCTTGGTGTTTGTGAAAGATACATCATAGAAGAAAAGTGTCTCAGATTTGTCTAAACTATTGATTGCAACCAAAAATTCTCAAAATTCAATGGCAATGCACAGAACCTGACCTAATCAATTTTACCAACCAAACTTACATAACCTTACCTAACTTCCTAACTGCCCCCCGGTCCCCCAACATATTAAGCAGAAAGTACTTACTTTGGTGTCAGTTACCACTAAAAGCACTTTTCTTGAAGCGGCATTTTATATTTGTAGGTCTTTACTGGACGTGAGAGTACGATCGGTTGTTGCACTGAAACACATACAGTACCGGGCACCGTATTTCTTCTCTGTGCCACATTTGAGCACTTCAATATCCTCTCAACTGGTCCTTGTTGACACATGAACTCTTGGAGATGGTCTTCATCCTCCACAAACACAGATAACTTGTGATACCATACTGAACAATACACAATAAAAATGCCATTGAAAAACAAGATAGCTATCTTCTCCTTCAGTCCTCCTTGATGAAGACCAATTAATATACAGTACAAACATACAGTTCACTTAGAATCCAATGGTACTCTAAAGAAATTGGAAATTTATCCAAACCCATGATATTGGATTTGAATTGAACTACAGTACAGTATATGAATCTCATCCTTTTTACATAGACTAGGTTCAAGAACCAATTATGCAAAAACAAAAAGTAAGGGGATTTACACAGGCCATAAACAGTAAAACCAGGATAGTGAATCCTATAAAAATTAAAACAAAAGACAAGCAAGCCAATATTTATGGTAATAAAACACCCGACGAGAGCCTCTGTTATTACTTGTATAAATATTAACAAAGACCGGAATCGCAAATTTATAGTTTAAGCGGTAATGCGAACACGCTTCACCACAGGAGATATATTAGTGGAATATTTACGATAAAAAAGCTATTTCTTCGTCTACAAATCACTTACTGTAGACATGAAATTACTTCCATATTTTCAGTTTTCTCGTTTTACCCCATACAATATTTTCCCTCATCTCTTATCCCCTGCCCACTACAGGTGATTTATTATCTTGGATAGAAAAACTCTAAAGGAAAAATTTGTTGTATCATTTTTATGACTTGCTATTATTCAAACAACACCTGTGGAAAATATGAATCCTATAAACTCCTTTGAGTGTTAGCCATCTCCTCCACTATTATCGAAGTATGTTATAATGGCATATGTACAGCTCCCTGCAGTTTTGTGTGCAACAGGGGCTAGAGCATTTGGAGAGATGTATTGCATTTGTTTACATCCCAGATAATTTAATAATTGTGATTATTGGAGAAATTAATATAATGTACAGGCAAATTAGGGATATAATTCCTAACTTGCCTGATTTTTTTGTACATGACCCTTATTTCAGGGCCCATAAACACACTGTAAACACCTTCATAACTTACTCAAATGCACACAAGATTCAAAATTCTTTTCATACCAACTTTGAACCCATAAAATTATTCCTTCAGATTGTTGAATTGGGACAAGTTGGTTTGTGTGTTGTTGTAATTGGTTACTGTATGGTACATTGTTCCCAGGCTATGTTTATACCATACATAGTACAGCACAGGCCCTAACAAGTATTGAAAGTTTATCCCAGCTTGTCACCCACGGCCATAGAAGTTTGATCCTATGAGAAAAAAAGTGACTGGTAGAGAATTCCAAGATCATTCCAGCAACCTAACACAGTCTAATTTATTTCAGACATAAAAGCTTGTCAGTGGATGTGTGAGAAGGAACTTATCTTAGCATCAAGAGGCCATCATAGCCAAAGATGATAACCTACAGAGGTCATACAGTAGCTTCAAGAGATAAAGGCTTTTGGGAAGTTTAATGCTGTCACATCCATCAGTTGTGTTGTTATGGGTTACTGCCCTGCCAGAAACGGCCAGAACCAGCCAAGAACCGTTCCTTAGAATTATGGTAAAGAATAAGCCAATGTGATGGTTACTGAACACTTTCCAGAGAACATAGTTAAACATGATTAAGGTATACAGTGTTAGTATGTTAACAGATTACCATGTGTTAAGTTTGAAATATGAAAGATTACTGGTAATACCTGTACAGTATGTTGAAAATACAGTACAGTACAGTATATCCTAAGATGAGAAGATTGTTCACTTGTCAAATATTGCAGTGGTAATTATTGTCACAAGGTTTGATGTGTTTCTATTAGAATACATTTTGCACACGGGAAATATTACAAAGATAAAAATGATTTATGTGAGTAAAGTGATATTGATGCAATTACAGTACTGTACTGTACTCTTGAAATGTTGGAGTGTAAAGTGTTGTCTCAAGTTTTGCATTGTTTCAAAATTAAGATACTCGAGTGCCTACTGACCTTTTGTGCTTGTGTCCATTAACAGGAAAAGTTCAGTGAAAAAATTTGTGTTAAACCTCTGGTACTCTTGGCCTTGATTTGAAATCTCACCCCCTCGCAGTCTTTTGACGTAGGTTGCGTTGGTAACAGGAATGTTTTTTCATTTTAATAAACATTGGGAAGAGCGATCCAGACCCAAATTGCACCTTTAAAGATGCATCTGCCATCCCACGAGGCTGGCAAGTTTCTGCTTACAGGAGGGTTGCTATCAGTGTGAGATACGGCTGAGCAGAAGGGGTGCTTAGCGTCGCAATTTGCGTTGAAAGACCACGAGAGGGTTATGTTTTCTTGTGCATTCTGGTGAGACGAGATAATTTGTGGTGAGGGTTTCTCGGACGAGTTGTGTGAAGAACCTAGTGCATGTAGTACAGAATCATGAAAAGAAATTAATTCATCCGTGCAGAGGGTGATAAGTTTGACACTGAATATTATACACCCAAACATAGTACTGATAGGAAGGACTTACTTAAACTGTACAGTGTAGTAAAGGGTATTAAACATGGCTCACTGTATGGATCAAAATGCTATGTACATTGATGAAAACAATTCCGAGTGTACGAAATGTGGCGAAATTCTTTACAGTAACGACTATTTACCGTTTCATCTGTGCAAGACTGAGAACAATGATGAGAAAGATATCAAATGTGAGGGGTTTGATGAAAGCTTTGACAGTATGTGTGATATGACACAGCAGATGTCAGTGCGCCCTCGTGAGAAAAGTTTTAGGTGTGAAGAGTGTGGCAAAAGTTATCACAGAAAGAGCAAACTGGAGGATCACATGGCGGTACACAACAACAAGAGGAAGTTTAAGTGCGATGAATGTGGTAAATATTTTAAAAGGAAAAAGACTCTGCTGGTTCATAAAGTCATACACACTGGAGAGAAGAATTTTTTATGTGAAGTTTGTGGTGGGAGATTTAGCCAGAAGAGTATGCTGGATAACCACATGTCCAGCCACGCTGAGGAGAAAATATTTAAGTGTGAGATGTGTGATAATAGTTATTCATTGAAGGGTAATCTGAAGGAACACATGTTGTCTGTACACTGTAGGGGCGAGAAGATATTTCAGTGTGATACTTGTGGCAAGAGATTTTATACACAGAGTTTTCTTCATAAGCATATGGCTAAACACACTAGAGAGAGGAGGTTTCAGTGTGAAGTGTGTGGGAAGCAGTTTTACACCCAGAGCAGTGTTAAGCGCCACATGGTCTTGCACACTGGTGATAAGGACTTAAAGTGTGGAGAGTGTGGCAAAAACTTCTACACCAAAGTTAGTATGAAGCAGCACATTCTGGCAGTACATACTGGAGTAAAAAAATTCAAGTGTGAAGAATGTGGTGAAGGTTATTGTACAAAAATTCAGCTGAAGGAACACATGGCTTTACATCTTGGCAAGAATAATTTCTCTTGTACAGAGTGTGGGAAAATTTTTTCTAGAAAGGGAACCTTGAAAGGGCATATGGCTGTCCACACATCTTAGAAGTTTAATCAGTGTGATATATGTTTTATCCCTAAAAAGTTCTTTAGAAAATCAAGCACTTGTGCCCACAGGTAAGAAATACTGTACTGTACAGGTAGTGTGAAGACTTGCACACAAATGTACCAGGTGACAAGAAAATATTGTGATTTTTCTTTTAGGTAATGCTACTGTAAAGTGTGTCAGGTCATACACACTGACAAAAATAAAATTTCACTGTGACAGGTGATAAAAGTTTATAAACAAAATATAGTATGGCAGAACATTGTATTTTGTATGCTAAAAAAAAGTTACGTTGTGAAAAAGTAATGATGTTTTAAAGACTGTAGTAAAAGTTATTACAGGGTATTTATGAAAATTACTTTAAACTGAGACTTGGATGTGCATAATGGTGAGATAAATATCCACAGATAAATATCCAGTGTGTATGGTGAAAGTTTGCAGAAGATGACCTGTACATTGGGGCGTATGAACATACATACTGGTAATATAAATTCATTAGCTAGTGGTATTAAAGGTCAATACTCTTTAACTGTAAGATTGTGTGCTCTTGAGAAAGTGTCAAAATACCGTTGTTTCAAACAGAGGGTTGGAGGAATGAGGGACAGACAATTGACCTGACCAGCCAGAAATAAATATAATTAAGTGAAAGAACTTCCCTTGAGCTCAGTATTCTTGCTTGCTCCCAGTATATAAGAGACTCCCAGGATGTATTTTAAATCAACAAGTATAGTAAGGTAGTTATTTAGCTTGTGTAACTGATACGTCTTCATTAAGCTCACAATTTATGGAACTGGACACCATAATACACTTTATATAACCTTTTATAAATGACAAAGAATTAATGAGATATGTATCACCATTTTTCTTGTGTTGTATTTTAACATAATGTTGTCAAGAGTACAAATAAACAATGTAGATACTGTACCAGAACACCCCACTCGTCCATCTGCATATCTTCATACATTGTCTTGCCATAACCGGTATTTAATTTGCAGGATTAAGCTGAAAGTATCCAATAGAGAGTAAGAGTGTATATTTCTTTGTGTATACGTATAATAGATTACCCAACAACAATATACCATGTACTGTACTGTACAGTACTGTATATTAAAACTATTTAATCAATTTTTTGTTTATTTTGATAATTTTTCCTTAACCTGTTAGATGCTAGAAGTATTTACAGTAAGGCTAAGTCCTATGTGCGAGCATCCTGCGGCATCGAGCGACCACTCGAGTAAACGCGCAACCTTGGTGTAGCGGACAAACGTGTGTGTTTTATTTGATGTGTCCCATGTAGACGTGTGGAGCGTTTGCGAGCGACCAGGATGCGGGAACTAGATGCGCAACCTGGAAGCAGTGATCAAATATTTTGATCGTCGCTTCCTCAGTTGCGCGAGTCCTCACATTCTACACCAAAACTAAAGAAGGCTATACATTCATTTTCCACTGTTAACAACTTGAATTTGTCAAGAAATAGATCCTTGTGGACTACTGTAGGGTATTAAAATATCTGCAAAATGTTTCTCACATTCTTTTTAGGAGAATGTGAAGCATTGTTTATTCTAGAGGGCGCTGTGTTATTCTCAATTATACATTCTTGAAATGCATATAACTTTGCAGCACACTTTACAATGTTAACAGTAGTATCTACCTTTTTTTCAATAGCTTTATTTAAAACTCCATTTACATGTACAAATTTCAAATTCACACTCTACAACACGTCTGGCATGTGACAATCTGTAATTAATTTTTTTTTCTTTGTTCAGAGCATTCCTAGGATAGGGTTCCAACAATTATACACAGAGTGGGTAGGCCTCGTACCCAGTCAGAATACATTACGGTGTACCGTACACATGAACCTTCTTTGGATCTTGGTGAATCTAAGAGAATGTTTGGTAATTGAGAAGCACTCGTACAGTTTGCAAATTATGAGATTTCAGGTCTTAATCAGCTTGATAGTTTTACAGGAAAATTACTTGATGAGAGAAGCAGTTTTGTTTTAACTTTTTATTAGCATTAGCATAAATTATCGTTTACATACAAATACTGTACAGTACTGTATTGTACCGTTGCACTGTTAGAGCGATGGTTATTCAGGTATTAATATATTAACCCTTAGGCCCGGGTGACGTTCCAGAACGTCTGCCTATTCCTGCCAAATTTTGTTTTTGTTTTTATTAATTTTGGAAAAGTTTATTTTTTCTCGCTTTATCCCCACCCGGGGAGGGGGGGGGACTGCCAGCAGCACCCTAACCCGGTTAATGCTGTATGTTTGGCTGACTTAGTTACTTTGTAATTTTCTCCATACAAAAAATTCCGTTTGGTTATAATGTTTCTACATTTATTAAAGTCTTGCACAGTATGTACTTAACTTTGTATATTCATTAAAGATTCTGTTTTATGTTACTGGACGGCCGTTATTTGGACAATAATACCATCTTCCAATATTAATATTTTAATTACAAAATGGACTAAGGTATAAAATATATACATTTGTTATTTAAATATTGCATACCTGACTGCCATGCTTAAAAATTCCTCATACCTGGCTAATATAACATGGAAAAATAACGTATTTATTTTTAAAAAGTTAGTGAATTAATTATTTATGGTTTTGTTGGTGGGGCTGACGGTGACAGGATCCCTTTAATACAAAGAATAACAATTATATGTGAATGGGTTGGTCTTGGTGAAGGGTTAACTGGGTGAAGTAAACTGGTCATGAGTGTTCAGTGCTATGAAGGAAGACAATTATGTTTACATGATTATTTTAGTGTACCTACAAGTTTAGATCTCGGTTATTTATGATACAGTAGTTGTGATGTAGCAGGTGCTGAGTGATTGACTTGAAGTACAATTACAAGAATCAAACAACAGCTTAATTAACTTATAATATGTACAGTATTTAGATATGTGGTCAAGTGCAGAGTCTTCTTCGCTATAAATTTATTGTACTTTATTATATATGTACTGTATATACGGTATATTCCCTCCAACCCCCCACCACCACCACCCTACACCCCCCTCCACCAACACCCCCCCTCCACCAACACCCTCCACCAACACCCCCTCCACCACCCCCTCCACCAACACCCCCTCCACCAACACCCCCATCAAGCTCTACATGTCTATCTATAATACATCAGCTGCATAGACCAGACCACATCAAGGCTCTGCCACAGCCAGAATGACCTTTGTTGTCGATGATCAAACAGTGCAAACTCCCCATCCTGACTTGTGTATTTTTTTTTTTAATCATTTCACCGCTTATCAGCTTACTAGCCATTTGGGTAGTTATGAACTTTGTTGTTCAGTGCTAGTACTGGAAGAAAACAGATTACCCCGGTCACAATAGATAACACCCTTCCCACATCTGTTCTGGGCCAGGACTTGAACCCAGGACACAGTGGTGAGAGGTGTGAACGTTACTGCTGTACAGTACTGTACTTGTCTTAAATTTCGTTTCACGTGGCCTATCGTACTTGACCTATCAACTAAACTCCTTCACTTTTTGTCTGCCCATAGCATCTTGTGGCAGTATGTGGATGAATTTGTGCAAGAAACAGAAGATAGTACAGTACTCTGATATAACTTAGAAATAAAAGAGAGAAGCTAGTGTTGTAGAGTTTGTGCAATTGACATTATCAATACTTTAGGCAAATGTTAGAAAAAATCTTCAGAATTGTGTTAAGTATTTTACTTTTTAATTTGGAAATAGTGACACTAATTTTCATGGTTGTTTTGGAATAAAAGATTGTCGTTAGCATTAATTATAAAAGTACTGTACTGTACTGTAGCCTTCCTTGGGAGTTGTCCTTTAAAGAAACACTAAAGGTGAGATGCGGTAGTGGGCTGGCTGGCAGAGTGTTGATCCGAAGTAGGCAGGATTGAGCATTGTTTGTGGGACAGTTCAATACCTCTTTTGTGTTTTCACTCCAAATAATTTCAGTCTAAAATTTCTAGAGGGTTTGTCAGTTATTTTTTATGATTACTTGGACACTGGGCCCAATATTGTGGTGCCTCTTTGGGATATCCGGCAGCTGGCTTGATCTTCACATTATCGAACTTCCAGAACTGGTAACCTCGTAAGAAGTAGGACTGTCCTGGGGGAAGGAAACAGGTTGATGGTGAATGATGGGAATATAATAGACTCTGCTCACTTAAGGTAATCAATCCAGTCAGCCAATCCATCCAACTGTTTATCCATATCTGCCCATTCATTCAAACTTCCACCCATCCATCCTCCACCCATTTACTCGAGCATTCATCCACTTACAGTATTTACTCTTATTTGTTTACCCATCCTTTACTAACCATCAGTCCAGGTGAAGGCATCGTCAAGGTCACCAGGCAGGCCATTCCACTTGCTTATGTCCTTGGGGTAGCCAGAGTCCATCTGACGGGCTGTATCATTGTAGCGGAAGTACCAGTTCTTGCTGTGGTGAAGGAGCGGAGATAAAGACAAAGTTAGTGAGGGAGAGAAGTGAAAGTGGGTCCTACAGGCATGTTTGTCCGATAGGAGAAGTGTGGATACAAGACTAATAAAAAATAATGGTTGCCCCTCGTGTGACGAGGATGGCCGGCCTAAGCGCCACCTAGGCGTGAATTGTTTAAGGTGTAGAAGCTGTCGCCACCACAACAAGACTGTATACTAAGCAGCATGGCCAGCACTGCCCTTGACTGAGATGAGGGGTATACCAGGGGCTCCCTCGTTCCAGGGTCCGAACAAGATATAACAATATTCAGAATCCATCATGACACTTTGAGACAATAAGAGGCAGTGGTTTTAAAAGCAATAGGTCAAGAGCTGGAATCTGTAAAGAAAAAAAAAGACCAAAGATTTACCTGAAGAAGTAAGTCTTTTTTGCTCTGGGCCAGTAGAAGGCGGCGTCGATGCTGGTCTGTATCTCCGGTAGGCCCAGGTCTGTGAGGGGCCTCGGTGAATCCTCCACTAGGCGGTTACCATCGTGCACGTAATAGTACTTCCCTGTGGGGTCACGAGAGGTCAACATAGGTCATATTAATTATGTTTCTTCGTCCTTACAGTTTCTCTTGCCAATTTAATCTCTCGTATCTCATTCTCCCTGTTTGTCCTCTTCAATAACCTCTTAATTTTTTTCAATCTTCCTTTATTCTGTTTCTCCCACTTCCATTTTTTGTCATATTTTCGTTTCCTTTTCCTTCCTCATATATTCTCATCATCCACCCCTTTCTACCTCTTCTATCTCTCCTTCCACCCCTTTCTACCTCTATCACCCTCCACCCCTTTCTACCTACTCACTCCATCTCCCCCACTCTCCCTTTCATTTCACTATCTCTTATAGCCCTTTCTATCTCTTCCCACACACTTTTACCTTCCATTCCATTCTACTATCTCCCCTCCGTGCCTTTCAACATCTCTCTATTCCTTCCATCTCCCCCTTACATTTTCCTATCTCTCCTCCATCTCTCCCCACATGCATTTTCCCGTCTCTTCCACCTGGTCATCTCACCTATGAAGAAGACAATACTACTGTCGGTGTCCCTCTCGTACACAGCGTCCACCTTCTTCAGGAAGGCTGGGAGGGCCGGGAAGAGGGTGCGTATGAGGGATGGATAGCCGGGACGGATGCGACCCCGCTCACTGTAGCGCCACAGGTACTGCAACGACACCAACACTATAATAGGTATAGTCATGCACGTTGGGTTTTACATCCTTTGACTACAGAGTAGGTGTATGTCGAGGCTGTTAGCTTTTGCATCTAATGATAAAAAGAAGCGTGTCAAGTGTTGCTGTGTTATGTGTTTAGTAAATTGGTAATTCACTCATGGTGAGATATTACACACACACACACACACACACACGCAATGCATGATACTGTAATAGCAGCCCTAAGTGATCCAGATGGCCCATACACCAAGTTTGTTCACAGTGCAGAAGTTGCCACCAATACAACAACCACACCCTGAATTAGCAAGCATGGCTTTCCACTATCCTTCGTACACACACTAATACAGATAATTTATTTGCTGCCAGGACTCCAGTTATTGCTCCTCACTCACGAGGGGAGAATGATAAGTACTGTATCACAGGCCGCTAGCACACCGACCCTGTATACTGTGTCGTTTTACATTGAATATCCCCGATGCACTCAGTATGAGGGCCACAGTGGCGTCTGGCACATTCATAACCACATTTGTCTCCACTACATTCATCACACACATCCCGCGTAAGGCCACTTGGCTTTCCCGACAAAAGTCAGCTGTGTGGGCATGGTGTAAGAGTTTTGGTGGGAACAACAAAGATGGAAGCGAACACAAATGAAATTATCTTGGCGCCTCATCTATCTTGCTAGCTCCTGTCGGCGTCATTGGGCAGAAAAAGGGCTATTTTCTTTATTTCTTCTGAGGGGAATTTAGTGCATGGAGCTTGTGTTGTTGCATCGAAGTTTTAATGGTGGTAAATGCCTTCTAGTTGTCAAGTACTTTGGCCATCCAATAAGTTATTGTAGAAAAAAACTATTGTATAACAACTGCTCAGCCGAAGATAACATGTCATACCTTGGCAGTTATATTTTCAGCCTGTTATACCAACCTTTCCTTATTTAATAGATTTGTATTTGTGTCAGTGGAAAATGTTTAGCTAAAGTTCCATTTATAAGTATCACGGGTTTTCTTTGGGTATTCCTGTTTCCCCCTGTGCTCACACTGGACAATAAATATCACAACAAAATAACAAAGAACAGACCAACTACCCGAACGACTAGTAAATCGATAAATGGTGAAATGATGAGTAAATAAGCCGAATGGGAGAAATTACTTTAGGAGATGGAGGGAAGAGGGTACGCAGTAGTCTCTGAATGCTGGCGTCATACGTTCTCTCTAAAACTTTTCGATGGGTAACTTAATGAAATTTAGTGGTTACCTTAAACGTACAGTTTACTTCTTTTTTTTATCATATTCGCCACTTATCAGCTTACTAGCCGTTTGGGCGGTGTATCCAGTGTTAGTACAGGCTGAAGTACCTCCCTGTCTGATAGCTGCCTACTATATATGAAAAAAATATAGTACCTATTACCTACCATTATCCTTTGACGTCTTATTCTTGAGCTACCCATAGTTAAATCAACCGTGTCAACCTGGTCTATGCACACTCCCCAAAAAGTATCTGCCCCCTGGGTCTGATGTATTTGGAAATGTACGCAACACGTATACAGTAGTCTCAGTTCGGTTGGTATTTCTGATTGTGAGTTGCACCTTTCGTTCTTTCTTCTTGCACCTGATAATCACCATAATATCTATACCACCTATTGTCTACATAATGTAATGAAGTAGGATGAATTGTGATATAGACTAACCCAATAACGTCATGAGTAACCCCGCTGATTTATGCACCTTAGATACTATTTCAGCCCCAGGGGATGGGTTACCAAATAGGAATATAATGTTACTATGTTTTTATGAACCGAGGTCACAATGGAATCACTTCGGACAAAATATGAAACACTACGATCCGATATTACACCCATTTACAAATATGGTAATTACAGGTGTATAATGATGCCATATCCAATTACAATGACATTATGATTGACTGAATTTCGATATTTTTCTACCTCAATTGCTGAGGATAACAATTAAGAATATACAGTAAATTATCATCTCCGAAATATTCGTCCATTGTGACACATAGTATGGATGAGAAAAGAGGTCGATACTTCTTTGGGGAGAGTGTACTTTTTATGTAACCAACGTGAGCTTGTATGACAGTTTTACTGATTTGATTGATTCGTTTGATTCACTAGCCGTCAACGATAACACTGAACCAATCTTATCTCAGGTCTGTCTGTCATTATATATATATCTATTTAATTTATTTATCTGCCCGCTATACAAGGTAGTCTTAGCGGTGTAACTTACCTCATCCTTGAAGATAAACAGTTCCCTCCTCAGCATAGCCACGGCGTCGTAATTCCCGTAGCAGATGTTTGGAAGAGTAGGAGGAGGCTTAGTAGAGGCTTCCTCCCTCCTCCCCCAGTTGTTATCTTCCTCCTCCTCCCACCTCCTCCGTTCCTCTTCCTCCCGACGTCGAGTCTCTTCCTCCTTCCTCCTGATATCCTCCTCCCAGCGCCGTCTCTCCTCTTCCTCCTCCCGCTGCCTCCTGCGTTCTTCCGCCCTTGTCTTCTCGACCTCCTCCCGGCGCTTCCTGTCTTCCTCGTAGAAGTCTTCATCGTCGTTACCGCCGTCGTCTTTCTTGTGGACACCATCTCCGTCTGGTGGGAGATTGGGTAATGAAGGCAAGTCATCCATCCAGCCCTCACCTGCCACTCGTCTCTTATGTTCGTCTACTGTCTCATAGTCGCCGTGGTAGCGGACATGATCGGTATCTTTAGGGTCATCGCTAAGGGCATCATCATCACCATCATCACCATCATCACCATCACCATTAGTATCATTATTATTATCATTGTTAAGTACAGTATCCTCACTATCCTCGTTAAGTACACCATCACTATCATCATCACTATCACTATTATCATCACTATCACTATTATCATCACTATCACTATTATCATCACTATCACTATCATCATCACTATTATCATCATCACTAGCACTATCATCATCACTATTATCATCATCACTAGCACTCTTACCCCCGTTCTCGTTGTCGTGGTCGTCACCGGCCGCGTCTGACTGGCGGTCGTCATTCTCTGGTGTCGTGGTTGTGGTGGACGTCGTTGACTTAAAATATTCGTCGTCCCCTTTCAGTTTACGCTTAACTGTAAGAGAGACAATTCTTCCCATTTTCATTGTGTTTAGTGTAAGATAAGGAAAGCGTATCCCAGTTTCGTTGATTGCTTAAATTAAATAATAAAAGTGGGTTCCTTTTTCATTGTTGTTCTGAAGTCAAGAAAAGTCCATATTCAATAGCATAGCAGTAGAATAATAGTAGTAATAGTACCATTAGTAGTAACAGTAATAATAGTATAACGTATTAGGTCAACAACTACCATCACTGTTACTGTCATTCCGAGTAAATCAAAAGAAGGTCACTTACTATACAGCTCCCACATAGCCATGACATCGTCGTAGTCCAGGGCAAAGTTAGCGGTGTAGCCTTTGTAGTAAGGGAACATAATGGAGCCTGACACGGGGGAGTGGGCCAGACCCAGGGAGTGACCAATCTCGTGTACGGCCACCGTGAAGAAATCCAGCCCTGTGGGTGAGTGGCAGAGTGAGAGGGAGGGAGGGAGAGTGAGAGGGAGGAAGGGAGAGTGAGAGGGAGGAAGGGAGAGTGAGAGGGAGGGAGGGAGTGGGTTAGAGGAATGGAGTGCGAATGAAACGCATGGAGTGGGAAGGAAAAGTGTGTGTGCGAGATAGAGAGAATGTAAATGACGAAGGAAAGAGATGATATGATGCACAGATCATTGTGGTCACCATCAACACTGATTGACCTTTAACCTGACCTTAACCATGGACATCACCTTGACCTTATCTTACTTAAACAAGTGGAAGATGTTGTAATATTAGCTGTGATGGACTGATGGTAGATGTACGGAAGATATCAAAACCAGAATAGGACAATCAAAAACAGTATTTAACGCTAAAGGACTTAAAGAAAGGAGAAATTTACTTCAAGTTGAGAAAAAAGCTACTGAAAGGCTTTATATGACAAGGACTGATGTATGGGGCAGAAGCGTGGACACTTCCAGCAGACACCAGGAGGAAGAGGTTGGAGAGGCCTTTGATATGTGGCGTTATAGGCGAATGTTAAGAAAAAGCTACACTGACAAGAAAACTATAGACGTACTATGGCCAGTAAAAACTTCTTAAGAGAAATACTTGAAATGTAGAGAAAAAAAAAAGAGATACTATGGTCATGTAACAAGGGGTGAGAGGATTGGTAAAGACAACCCGAGACCGTTTAGAGTAGAGGACTGTGGTCACCAACCCTCAGCTATGAGGAAGGTACTCTACTACAGTACTCTGGTTGATTGATTCATTGGCTTGACATGACCCAATTTCACCCCTTACTTGACATGGCCCAATTTGACTCCCTAACTTGACCTTACTTAACATGGCCCAATTTGACCCCTAACATAAGATGACCGTGACCTAACGTGATTTCAACCTCTGATCTGATCCCATTTGATCCCTGACCTGACCTGAGTACTGGTCCTTGGGTTTCGTAGTCCAGGTCTCGCTCTCGTCGAAGTGAACATCACCACCGTAGGAGCCGAACTCGTAGGGGTAGTAAGCGTGAGCCAGGATCCCGCTAGGCCCATCAAATGCGTACCTGGGTAGAAAACAGGGGCCACTCAGTGATTGGACGAGCATCAGAGAAGGGTGATTGGAAATTCTTGTGAATTTGGAAACTGATTACAAATTTATCGAATTGGAAATGAGTTGAAAATTTATTGGAAAATGGGCTGGAAAGTTATATGAAATTCAACTGGAAAATAAATGGAAAAAATAGTGAATTTGATTGAAAAAAAGAGTTTTGATCGAAAACTCGTTAGAATTAAAAAAGGGGGGGGGGGGTGAGTGGTCGTTAACTATTGGAAACTGAAAGATGATTGGCAAAGGCTCGTAAAAGGATTGGAAGCTAAAAACTAAAACTAAATGCTATTTGCAACTGTAGCAATAGATTAAAAATGGTCGAAAACGATTAGAAACTACGAAAAATGATTGGAGAGTGGTTGAAGAATGACTGGAAATTGGTCGAAACCGATTAAAAGTGATTATAAAGTGACTGGACAAAATTACTCACCCGTCACCATGCGCGTAGTTGGCGAAAAAGATTATGATGTCAGCATCTTGATGGGATGACTCATTGAACTGTAGGTGAGAGTACGTGCTCCAGGCATCAAAGGCTCTCCTTAGCTCTCTCTGTACCACTTCCTTCGACCGTAGCTGAGGCGACCAGTTGGCGACACTGTGAGATGAGGGAGGGTGTGAGATGGTGGGTGTGTTTACTCTGCTGTGAGAAGAGGCGTGTTGACAATGCTATGAGGGGAGGGTGAGGGTGTATTGACAATGTTGTGAGGAAAAGAGAGGGTGTGGGTGAGTGATAATTATATATTCTCCTCCACTCACTAATAAGTCAGCCTCCTTTTGTTCCATCCGCCAGACCCCACAATGTATCGCTTGCGTCGGATGTGTGGTTTGTCCAGGAAATCTTGAGGGTCCATATCGGGAAGACCACAGCGAGGAGTCTCCATCAGCTGGGGAAGAAAACGGAGTGTGGTGAGCCAAGTGTGTGTGAGAAAAGGAGTTTTGGAACCCAATTATGAAAATAAATGGGGTGAGGTAAGTCAGGTGTAGGTAAAATGGGGTGAGGTAAGTCAGGTGTAGGTAAAATGGGGTGAGGTAAGTCAGATGTAGGTAAAATGGGGTGAGGTAAGTCAGGTGTAGGTAAAATGGGGTGAGGTAAGTCAAGGTAAATGGGGTGAGGTAAGTCAGGTGTAGGTAAAATGGGGTGAGGTAAGTCAGGTGTAGGTAAAATGGGGTGAGGTAAGTCAGATGTGTGTGCTTAAATATAATAGAAAATGGGGATTGGTCTTACCACCAACGTAGCATTATCGATGAGGCCCGTCTGAGGGATGTTTCCGAACCTCTGCATGCGTTTGATGGCTTCCTCCAGTGATTGAGATGTGAAGAGAAAGTCTGTGTCGTTGTCACCCTTCGGAACGTAGCCGAACTGCTGCATGAACTTCACCTGCGAGAACGTAAACAAAGGCCAAGGGTCAATATTGTTATGAATAAATGTATTTAAAGAAAACTTGTGAGGACGAAGCCGGTGGTGTCGTTAACCTCTCAGATGTAGGCTCAAGACTTAACTGCCGGAACGTAAACAGATGAATGGACGTAGTGAACCTGAGTGAACGGATGGAGTTATGAATGAATTTGCTGAAGGTTGTGAATGGAAGTAAGTTAATGAGGAATATGCTTAAGTAATAGACTATAAACAATGTATTTGATAATGAAAACTAAATATAAATAATATTAACTATAATAAAAGTTAAATTATTAATAACATTGTTAATATTAGATTAAATCGGAAACTTTAATGATGATGATGGTAATAATAATACTTAGCAAGTATAAATAAAAAAAAGACGAGAAATATTAAAATTAAAGTATACCGAATTAAGAAAGAAATGGAAGGATTTGATTGGGGGAAATATATCCTGTTCTAAGCTCCAGGATAAGGCAAGGTATCCTGTTGTAAGAACGAATGGTAAGATATCCTGTAGTAAGGAGATAGGCCAGGATATCCGGAAAGTAAAACGAGCCATCATCTGTAGGTGCGGCAGGCAGTGGTATGTGACCATATACTGTATGTGTATTATAAGCCTACAGCACATGAACATGTTTCACAACAAAGCATGTAATAAATAACAATAATACGAGGGAAGTAGTCCTGGAGAGATTTTAACAGGATAGCAGAAACAGCGATAATATAGCAGTGATAGTATATCAACTTAAAGCAATTATATTGTTCAGTGGGAGAATAACGCAATAACAAAAAATATCTAATTGAAGTAGAAAAAATAGGAGCAATATTCTCAAAATTAGCGGATAAATATCAAGAGTTACACAAACGGCACTAGTCAGCACACAGACAGTTTTAGTCCAAACAACAAATATTCACACACAAAGAGGAATATTTATCACATAAAGAAGGTAAATAAACAGTTGGTAGACTTACGGCATGAAGGGCCGACCCCGGTCTGGGCGTGGACGTAGAAAAGTTGAGATCAGGCGGGGGAGTCACTGGGATGTGGACGGGCTTGGGCGTGGTGGTTTCCTCGTAGCGGTAGTGGGCGTAGGGGTCGTCGCGGGCATAGGAGGTGTCATGGTCGTGGCGGGGATAAGGAATCCCAACTGGCAAGGCACACACCCCAGTCACCAGCACTGTCACCACCACCAGCGTCGCCGTCACCATGGTGCTGCCTGCCAGAAAACAACTCAGATTGGGACTCTCGACTTGCTGCATTCCAGGAGAAACTGATTTTTGATGGACACTTAATCTAAAAATGAAACTGAGTGGGACTTGACTTGCGGCATTTCGGGAAAAACGGTGATTTTTTAAGGACAATTAATATGTGAAACTGAATGAGTCTCTCGACTTGCGGTACTTCGGTAGGAACAGTGATTTTTAAGTGACAAAATATAAGAAATACTAAATTGGAGATTTATTTCGCCAGCGAGGTCAAAATTTCCACTCGCAGATCTGCACTTGAGTCACCGAGCTGAGATTATTTTAGTCAGTGGGAACAAAATCATCTGGGGAACTCCACACCTAAAACTCGGGACTTCTCGAGTGTCACCCCACTGTAAAATAATCAGGAGTCCTTACGATGATATTTCAGTCTGAGACAGGACATGAACTATTTCACACAAATATCAGTAAACACACAGGTCTTGTAAATAATAGTCTTTGTAAAATAGGAAACTTGTAAGTACGGACTTTTATAAATCCCACTTGTAGTACCTCACTGTAAATGAAGGTCACTAATACCACGAAGATTTCACTGTTGTAAAAAATTTAAACTGGTGGGTCTGGTAGCTGGCACCCTACTGTAAATAACCATCAATCTTTACCAAGTTCTCACCGATGTACAAATGTACTGGCATGTCGTAGGTGTCAAGAAGTACACAGAAAATTCACATCACCTTTTCGAAGCGAAGTGTCTTATACCAGCTCGATCAGCCACGCAAAAACACAGAAGGCACCGCACGCCACTCCTGCCGATGTCACAGCAACGAAAGGACAACAGCTGACCTGACTAACTGACTGCCACTCCTTTTTCCGTTCTTCTCCTTGCGCGATCATCACGTCAATGTGGTAGGGATGAACAGAGGGTTCATCTTAATGTGTACGAGTGGAATGGAGTGGGTTTTGCCTTACTATATCCTTCACACAATACCAGCTTCATACACTACCACTCGCCTCTTTACTCTCACAGCCCTCTCCTTTCTACCACCTGTTTAATATTTACGAGGCCGTGGTTGTGGTAGAGTGCGACAAGTCTTCCTCCTTCGTGGTGTGGTTGTTGATGGCTCTAACTACACACACACGTCCCTGCTCCCACACTGCCAGTGAACCACGACCCCACCAATGCCCCAACACTAAACTGGGCCACATCCCCTTACATCTGGCACCTCCTCCTCCTCCTCCTCCTCCCCTACTCACACTCTGGGGGAGGTGGGGAGGAGTAGGAGAGAAGAAATAATAGATAAAGAGGGAAGCTATGAAGAGGAGGGTAAGCAGTGGGAGTGGCAGAGATAAATACTGTAAGGGATAAAACAGAACGTGGGGAGGGAACACGAGAGTAAGGAAATAAATGAGAATGAAACAGAAGAGTTTTAATAGGAGAAAAAGTAAAGGAGGGAATGGATACGAGGAGAAAGGGGGAATGGAGGAGGAGAAGGAGAGAGTGCCAACATAATTATGATCTTGTTGAGCTGGTTAAGAGAGAGAGAGAGAGAGAGAGAGAGAGGCCGGCACCTCACGAGAAGGTCGCAGTGCCAGTGCCACTGAGGGAGAGGGCCAGGGAGGGACAGTCACGGCCAGAACCAAGAGAGAGGGCCAGGCAGGGCTTACTTAAGTTACGACTCCTAAGTTACGACACAGATTTTTTCTCCTCCTAACTGATGGTGTAAGAATGTATCTAACTGCTTCACTTCTAAGGTTAAAGCACTTAAGTGTCGGAATTGAACAGAGAGGCCACCGTAACTAGATGCGACTTCTTGTCCGCAGACGGTGGGCAAAAAACTGAACGTGACAAACCTTGGAGAATCCGGACCTTGAACCAGACAGTGAAGCAGGTATCTCTCTCTCTCTCTCTCTCTCTCTCTCTCTCTCTCTCTCACCGAATAATGAGTTTACAGAATATTATGGAATCGCGCGCGCCGTCGTGAGCGTCGTCTCCTCGATCTCGCCTTACTGTCCACGCAATAACTCCTAAATGGGTCGAGCGAGTTGATGGAATACGATGATGTTGACGCTCGGGGATGTATCGGGTGTGCAGCTTCAGGCAAATGCACACACACACACACACACACACACCACTGCCAAACTACCCTCGTTACACGGCCACAAGTAGTTCGCCTCATCTTACCAACCCAATTGACTCAACAACAACAACACATTCAGATTGGGACGACGACAGCGCTACCAACACATACGTCTGATGTGTTGAACCTCTGTTGGCAACACTGGTCCATGTGTAGTGTTCGTGCGTGTTTCTGCAAGTTTGTTTGTTTGTTTGTTTGTTTGTTTGTTTCTGGTGTTTGTTGCTTGAGTTTTGTGTGTTTGTTAGTTTGTATTTGCGGATAAGGAGAGTTTCTTTGCATTATTTGTGTTTGCCTCCCCAGTGTGTGTGTGTGTGTGTGTGTGTGTGTGTGTGTTTAGATCTTGTGTTTAAGAGTTCACCCAGAAACACCCATACTCACCCACCCACCACCACCATTATGGCACCTTCCCTCTGCCCAGACCGCCCACCCACCCAGACACGCACACACCACCCAGACACTACCCACCCAGACACGCCCACACCCACCCAATTCACAAACCATATCCTTACCCATAAGTCATAGACGTGTGTATAACAACACATCTCAATGACCCCACCCCACCACCATCCCCCACCCACCCCACCCCCATAACGGCACGAGAAGATGGTAACAAAATTGTGTTGGTGATAAACTGATAATAAACAAGTGTGTACAGTGGGAGGTATGAATTAACCTTTGAGAATCTTTGTTTGTGACCTAAGTTAATGTTAAGTCTTTTAGATCCGTTGTTATGTTATTAAGACTATAGATGACAAGTGCTTCTTATATCCAGTGAAGTGGACAAAAGTTTCCTTCGTTTGTACACTGTGGGTTTTTTTTTTAAGGGGTTCATATAATATGGTCTTCAAAAGGGAGCGTCAGTCAACACTAACCTCAACTACGACTACTAACTAACCACCATCACCACCACTAACCAACCACCATCACCACCACTAACCAACCACCACCACCACCACTAACCAACCACCACTAACCAACCACCATACCACTAACCAACCACCACTAACCATCACCACCACCACTAACCACACCACTAACCATCACCACCACTACCACCAACCACACACCCACCATACCACTAACCAACCACCATCACCACCACTAACCAACCACCATCACCACCACTAACCAACCACCATCACCACCACTAACCAACCACCATCACCACCACTAACCACCATCACCACCACTAACCAACCACCATCACCACCACTAACCACCATCACCACCACTAACCAACCACCATCACCACCACTAACCAAGCATGACTCACTCTCTGACAGGAAATGCCCCGTGTTCTTGGCTATGTATATTATATACCTAACGGTGTGTGGGTGCCAGACAGTTACTTCCCAATGTGGTTATGTCATCTGGGTAATCTTCACTACCCATATGTTGTAACAGTGTAGGGAAGATCGTTAAGGGGCTACATGCTTAGTAGTAGTAGTAGTGTAGTAGTAGTAGTAGTAGTAGTAGTGACTAAGGCAATGTCGTTGTGGATTTATGATGATTTCTGTGTTTTGTGTATGCTTTCGTCATAGATTGGCTCTCTCTCTCTCTCTCTCTCTCACAGCAAATTATAAACACGCCAGCAGTATAAAAAAAGGCCAATTAACATCTCTAATGTGCTATTGAACTTGACTAAGCTGCCCCTATCAACACATATCGCTTTCTCTCATAACTGATTTAGCATTCCGACAGCAACATTAGCGAGCGAAAAAGAACAGCGCTCGGAGTTAACTCTCTCTTTGTCTTGAGGTTTTACTCTTCATCTTTTATCTTTTTCTTTCTCTGTGCTTTAGGTCTTTGGTCCTTTTTCTAAAAATATCACAGTCATCCTTCCCTTAATTTCTTTCTCTCTCTCTCTCCTGTTCTTTGTCAAGTGCTGTATCTTGTCTCCCTCTTTTCACGTCTTTGTTCTAGGGCAAGGCTATTCCTCAGCGTGAGTCAGAGACAGTGGGTGGGTGAGGGCTTTGTTGACATTAAGTTACTGGGTACATAGCTCAAACTGGCGGGGAGAAGAAAAAACACGCCCAAAACAAAAACTCGGGAACATTTATAAGTTAACCGTTTGCCGTTATATGAATCAGTTCCGTTTTCTTGTGTGGTTTTAGTGAATAATTCTGGTGTGTTGAAGTAAAGGGGATGTAGTGGGATAGTGTCGAGTTTTTGTTGCCTTCCATGTAAGTTATTGGACGCTTAAAACCTTGTGTTTTGGCGAAAAAATACGCACTAAAGAAAAGTAAAACCAATATTACCGGTTACTTGGTCAGCCGAGGGGTCATACATGAACTTGTGCCGCTGTTTATCTCCGTGTTAATGAGTGAGTCGGTAATGAGGATGGATTGTGTTGCCGAGGATATAATACTATACATCATTTTCACGGCTTAAAATGAAGGAGGTTGAGACGTGGGGATATTCGGTCTCTGTTTACAATGCACTTTGAGTGATTGGGTGTGTCACACTCTTTGACGGGAAGAGAAACCCACCCAAACAGAACACACACACACACACACACACACACACACACACACACACACACACACACACACACACACACACACACATACACACACACACACACACACACACACACACACACACACACACACACACACACACACACACACACAGTGCAGAACATTTATAATTATAATTTACCCCGCGAGGGGGCTAGTTTATTGGGCACTCCATTGCATCCTGTGCAAGGCGTAACACAAAAGGGGTTAACAGCGTCCTTCGTGGATGTACGGGTTCATCCACGTCTAACCTCATCTCTCTTGTAGTTTTAATACATCATTTTCGTTTCTTTCGTAATAAGAGACGTCGACGTATGCGATATTTTGTTTCCCGTGAATGGTTGGGGAAGAAGAACACTCCAAAGATGGAACACAGGGCGGGAAGATAACACAGTAGATACCTTCACCCACATATCTCGTCCAGTTTCGTTTTCTCAAGTGGTACCAATAGATCATTTCGGTTTGTTCAGAGGGAGGAGCGACTGTTGCTACGAGATCAGTGCTGTGATATGTAAATTTAGAGCGATCGTTTATCATCTGAGTCGAGGTTATTCTCACATTGCCTCGCCTGACACACAACAGCTTCCACTAGTCACTATCTCAGTTCAGAATCTTTATGCTGAAATTTTCTCCTAAAACATTAAGTGAGATTAAAAGATTAAGTGTAATTATGACTATTTTTATTTTACTTATTAACAGGCGTATGAGTAAGGTTCGTGTACGATGGTCTCTACTTCCTATACGTAAACCCTGAGGTTTCTATACTGAAAACATCTAGGTCTCTATTTAATGAATTTTAGCACACTGAGGAGTCTACTTATTGTACTTAAACACAACGAGGTCTTCACTTAATTTACTTAAACACTGAGGTCTCTACTTATTGTACTTTTAACGCAGGCGTAAGTGTGCACGGTTTTTTATAACATGTGAAGTGAGTGAGTCAACAGTGTGGACGAACTAGACACCCAACAGTCTACCCCTGCAGGTGACAGCCGTACCACCACGTGATCCAGTTGTCGGTTCGTTATGTCAAGTTAGATTAGGTTAGATTACATTTGGTTGAATTACACTATAGTTCATTTTTTATTGATATCCAAAGTTAGCTCCGCCCCTCATTGTAGTTTCGGCTTGGTAATGGTTGGAGCCAGACGCCTATGATCTCATGAGTTTCAAGTCCCCCTAAATGATCACCCATTTGTCCCTTTAATACAACAACCTGTAAGTGAATATCGTGTGAGTTACTAATGACAAACCCCTTTTCAGCGTATATGATTACCATTAAACCCTTACAGATAGAAAGCGTATTATCTTAACCCTTACCCCTTAAAAGGGTATATAAACACCAGTACATTTAAGACCCTTAGCTTACAGAAGGGTATATAAAGGCTAAGAGAAGTCCTGTGAAAATAACTCGGCACTGACCTCCTTCACATTAGTGTTGGTATCCCCTTCCACCGTCCAGTGACCTCACCTTCCTCGCACGTCTTTCACTTATACCGTGGATACTGTAACAAGCAGCACCGCCAACAGTGTACAGTGGGTGGTGGTATGACATGGTGGTTACACTACCGAGCATTACATTCAAACTATACAATGGACATTTTCCTCACAAAGACGGGTAAAGACGTTATTCTAGAAGCATTATATCATGTCGTCAAAATTCTTGGTGGGATGGAAGTGGTATTTGACAACGCTAATGAGCAGCTATGCCATATGTCTCATTAAAACTAATTATATTCTAATAACTACTACAGTATATGTCGCGTGTGTGTATAGGCCTGGGGGGTGAGTCTATGGTACCTCACCTGTGTGTATAGGCCTGGGGGGTGAGTCTATGGTACCTCACCTGTGTGTATAGGCCTGGGGGTGAGTCTATAGTACCTCCACCTGTATGTATAGGCCTGGGGAGTGAGTCATGCCTCACCTGCCTGTGTGTATAGGCCTGGGGGGTGAGTCTGGTACCTCACCTGTGTGTATAGGCCTGGGGTAGTCTGTGGTACCTCACCTGTGTGTATAGGCCTGGGGGGTGAGTATGGTACCTCACCTGTGTGTATAGGCCTGGGGGGTTAGTCTATGGTACCTCACCTGTGTGTATAGGCCTGGGGGGTGAGTCTATGGTACCCCACCTGTGTGTATAGGCCTGAGGGTGAATTATATGGTGTTTTCCCATGCCTAAGCGTAATATAGTTGACACGGGTTTAATTTATAACACCAAGACTCATGTGATATATTATTTGCAACATATATAATAGAAAATATGAAAATACTTCAAATGTTTCTCTCTCTCTCTCTCTCTCTCTCTCTCTCTCTCTCTCTCTCTCTCTCTCTCTCACTAGTGGGGCAGACAGGCGCGGGTACACCAGAGAGATTACATCTGACATAAATCCGTGAACAAAAACTGTCTACGTCATGAAGCAGTGACATTGAAGACCAAGGGAAATAATATTAATAATAAAACTAGGTTAGTAATAAAAATAAAAAATAATATCAATAATAATTGTAACTATAATTATAATTTGAATAAGGCAATAGTCATAATAACAATAATCTTGAGATGGTGAAAATATTAATTAAAACCAGATAATTTACTATTTTATTATTATTATTATTAAAGACATCACGTATTATTGTCTTTGTTAATTAATACAAGAAGCAGTACTGGGAGATCTACCCCCCCCCCCTCCCAAGACCAGCTGTTTTGTTTTTGTTGTGAGGGAGAATCGTCGTATCTCTGGCAACTCAGGGTCGAGGGTCGCACATCTGGCAACTCCATCATCACCACTCCGCCTCTCTCTCTTTCTCTCCTCTCATTACACTGCGTCTCTCACCTCTATCTCACTATCTCTCACCTCTATCTCCTGTCCCTCACCTCTATCCCCTGTCTCTCACCTCTAACTGGCTCTAATCTTTGACCATCTGCCCCACCTTTCCTTCTCTCTCTTCTCGGATTATACTGTGTTTCTCATCTCTTTCTGCCTCTCACCTCTCACTACCCCTCTCTGTCTTTCACCTCTCTCAGTCTCTCACCCCTCTCTGTCTCTTACCCATCCCTGACTCCCCTACCTCCTCTTTCCTCCCTGTCACCCCTCTCTTCCTCCCTGTCACCCCTCTCTTCCTCCCTGTCACCCCTCTCTTCCTCCCTGTCACCCCTCTCTTCCTCCCTGTCACCCCTCTCTTCCTCCCTGTCACCCCTCTCTTCCTCACTGTCACCCCTCTTCCTCACTGTCACCCCTCTCTTCCTCCGTCACCCCTCTTCCTCACTGACTCCCTCTCTTCCTCTCATCGTACCTCACCTTCCTCTCCTCCTCCTCTTCCCTCCTTGACACTCTTTTCTTATCCAGACCAAAAAAGACCCAAAACATCATCCCTCACTCACATAAGAGCTCCATCAGTCAAGTCAGGAGAGGCGTTCATTCTGGTGACTGAACGAAACAGTAAGATCACCATCCACCTCTAAACACTATGGGTGCAGGACGCTGTTGCAAAATGTTTAGATCTTTGCCATAATGATGTGGAGTGTAAAGAAACCCACGTGGTGTGTGTGTGTGTTAATTTGTGAGGAAATGTTAACACAGAGACTCTACCTTAACGAGATACTTAACACCTGGTAGAAGACAAATTAACACCGAGAATCTACCTGAGTAACCTTAACTTGACAGGACCCACACTCCACGCCTTCTCTTACCTTTCGTGTAATAGCCGGGCGTGCGTATGTGTGCGTGTGAATCCGCCCAACCGTCTGTTCGTGCGTTCGTGTCCGTGTATGTTAACAGCGGACAACCAACGCGATGACTGACCTGGGACAAGAAACGGCCGCGCCTTTTATATCTGTCAGCCGGAAGCCAAAGCGCGGGTTGTCACTGGTTCTTAAGTTAATTTTTCTTCTCAACTCGTGAAGTGAAGACACAAAGGTGGTATTTTTTTTCAAAGGTTCGTAAGATAAGCTGGATCACCATTAACCTATAACATATTCCAGAGTAGTGTTAGGGTGGTTAATCCTGAGGTGAAATGTGGAGAGTCTTCAGGCGATCCCATCTGTTTATCTATTGAACTAGTGAAGTGAGACCATACAAGTAACACTATGCCAAGAAGATGGATTCTCAAAGGTTCAAAAGTACGGTACGGTAGAGTTTCAGTGCAATTTCTACACCATTCTGAGCACTATCCTTAAGTTGCTGCTAAAACGAAGCAGATGGAGAGAACAATTAATGTAGGAACCTGTGAGATTCCATCTTTGTGTCGTAACTTAGAAACATTTGAGAACCCATTGTGAGTCTTTTAAAACTCTTAAGTAGACAAAAATCTTTGAGGGGAAAATTTAACTTACGAACAATTGAGAATAACCTTAACATTACACACTTGTACAGTTGCCTCCACAAGAACGTACAACGACTGATGTGTGTGTCGGGGAAACATTTACGAGATGAGGGGCGCAGCATCGTAGTCCTGGGCGTGAAGTGGTTTACTCGGTTTGCCGGAGAAATCCGTCGTTCAGTCCTAGTCACTCGGTTGTGGCTACAAAACATTGCTGCATAACTTATATCACAGGGTTCGCTTATCTGTTTACCTCCTTTATTGTATCTTATTATATTAAACAAGGTAATTACACTGTTTCACAGCCATTCATTCAACCATGGCTGGGTGCCACATCTCATACCCGAGCCTTCACACACTCCCAGGCTGTGGTGCGTTTATGTGGAAGCAACTATATAAACAAACACATCCGTAGGAAATAACTATTTTCTGTAGGCCGGAGTATTTCCCAGACTAACCAACAGAACCATTCTATGAACCTAACCCAGCCTGAGATGACGTCATGTTAGTGGTGTTATGGAGTGTGTGTGTGTGTGCGTGTGTCTGTGTGTGTGTGTGTACAGGAGACGTCTTCTGTACACATACACTATTTTCCCAAACTTGTAATTAGAATACGATTTTAATTAGGGTAAAGTCTTGGTCTTTTCCTATATATATATATATATATATATCTGTCTCACACACAGTCCTCAACCATCGCTCTGTGTAGCAGCCAAAATATTATTACATCTTCTCCCTCATGTTCTGACGTCACATCCTCTTTGTCTGAGATGCTATTTAGATAAAGTGAACTTTATCAACTTAATTGCTATAAAAATAAACTGAAAGACACACACACACACAATGTATAATTTTAAACATTGTGTATATACCTTTTTTACCTAATAGTCTCCCAAACTATAGAGAGAGTGTGCTGAGCGTCGCCCACTGTTCTTGATAGTCTTGTCTAGAACTATTCTGAAGCCCAGCACTGTTCTCGATTCCTGAGTTGCTAGACCGTTCCATTGATGTATACCAGCCTTTGTGTGAAGAAATATGTCTGACGTTTGTCCTACATAATAACTTGGCGAGTTTGTAGTAGTTAGGTCCCCTCGTGTGTGTGGTGCGTGACATCACAACGAAATGGCCCAGGTTCACGTTTTCTATCTCATTCAGGATTTTGAATGTTTCAGTAAGCTCTGCCCTGTTGTGTCTTGTCTGAAGGGTTGTCAGTCCTATGGCCTTCAGTCTGCTTGGTATAATCTAGATGACATAGTTCCGGAATCATCTTAGTCGCTCTGTGTTACTCCTTTCCTAGGGATATGTTAGTTCTTTCTGGAGGGTAAGGTTGCTGATGAATGCATAGGAGTTCCATTATTTTGTTTATTTCAATAAAACCTTCATATATCGTGTCCAGGTGAGTTACAGTTAGCTGCAGATAATAACGGCACTCTTGTCACTCACTCCTATCTGTCACTCACCCCTCTGTCACTCACCCTTATCTGTCACTCACCCCTATCTGTCACTCACCCCTCTGTCATTCACCCTTATCTGTCACTCACTCCTATCTGTCACTCACCCCTCTGTCACTCACCCCTCTGTCATTCACCCCTATCTGTCACTCACCCCTATCTGTCACTCACCCCTATCTGTCACTCACCCCTCTGTCACTCACCCCTCTGTCACTCACCCTTATCTGTCACTCACCCCTATCTGTCACTCACCCCTCTGTCATTCACCCTTATCTGTCACTCACTCCTATCTGTCACTCACCCCTCTGTCACTCACCCCTCTGTCATTCACCCCTATCTGTCACTCACCCCTATCTGTCACTCACCCCTATCTGTCACTCACCCCTCTGTCACTCACCCCTCTGTCACTCAGCCGTCTTTGTCACTCACTCTTCTCCGCTAGTTACCTCTGTCACTCACCGCTGTCACACCCTCTGTCACTCACCCACACATGGATACAGCCTCCCACTTCACACTACTGTACATACATAATGTACACAAGCGTACGTTTACACACACATAAAACAACACACATAGAAGCACAAATTATGTACACACACAAACAAACACATCAGCCTCAACTGTTACATTTTTATGTACTAATTAGTGTGCTAATTACCCAACAGCCTCGTTCGGCGAATTGCCTTTTTGTTACCCAACTACAGTACTCATAGCTGTACCCTGTGAGGAAACAACTATAGCTGTTTGTAGGTCAAGTGACGTCACTTCTGATTCGCTCAACCTAATTTAACCTAACCTAACCTAACCTAACCTAATTTTTAACCTAATAAAATCTAACATATATTTATATAAAATAAATATCAAACCAATTAAAATAACTGAATTTAATTTTTAAACTTCTCAGTATCGCATTTGTAATAAATTACTAATGTGTAGTTTTTTAATTCATGTTGATATTTGAGCCATGTGTTCAACTTGTCCACGACCTCTCTGTCTCTCCCTGCTTGTCTGAAGTATACACGATGAACAATAATAGGTCTCACCGTTGTCTGTAGGACCCGAGGGACGATAGGTACAGTAAGATAGTGAAGGGGAAGGCATACAACGCCATCTTCCTTTTACAATTGACAAGCGCGGAAAGACTGGCTCGGTAGTTCTCTAGGAGTGTGTGACAAGGCGCACTCAGATTTGTTTTTTAAATTGTTGCAATTAAAAGGCGGATAAGGTGCTAGTTTGACACTGCCTTGATGACAAGGGTGTAGGACTTTGTGGCAGACGAGACGGCCTTTAATAGGATCTTAAACTACTAAGATTTAGGCTATCCCGGCTCGTGCGCAAGGATGTGCTCGGGAAGGAGAAATTTTAGAAGACATCACTAGGATTTCCTCAGTGCCAGAAGGATGGCTTCGGAAGGGAGTCCTTTGTTTACGTTCTGAGAAGGATCCGTGCTAGAGGTCGTGTCCCTGTATGCGTGGCCCTTGATGGCCCTTTGTCACTTGCTGGTAACCTTTGTGATTATTCTTTCATCTGAATTATTTCTTGTGTCGTTATTATTATTATTTATGTATTTTTCCTCTGTTCCAATACTCCTGATAACAGTAAACCATCCTCCCATTCATGTTCCCTCACACCCATAATAACTCATTTATGGAGCCAGCCTCCAGGTGACCCGTCTCCAGGTATCTGCCTTCACTTAGCAGGACAGGCTCACATTTTGATCTAATTTTATTTAATGGTCACCGAACGTCGAGGGAAGGACAGTCACCTATGGTGGTCTTGTCAAGGCCACAGTACTGTTTGAGACTTCACAGCTTAGGTTGGTAGACTATAGGTCTCCCAGCCTCTGTGTGAGGAAGTATTTCTCTTTGTTCCTCCTGTATGACACCTGACTGAGTTTAAGATGTGTCCTTTTGTGTTGGTGAGGTGTGACTTAACGAAACATTAACACACACACACACATATATATATATATATATATATATATATATATATATATATATATATATATATATATATATATATATATATATATATATATATATATAATACTCGCTCAAAAATACAAACGTACAAATACACATACATATAAACACACAATAAATTGTATATGCAATTTATAAAAAAAAAAACAATTGTATAATAAGGTCCTTGGCTCAGAGATAATTAAATGAATACAGTGAAGAGAGAGAGAGAGAGAGAGAGAGAGAGAGAGAGAGAGAGAGAGAGGTTACTCCTCGGGCACGCAAGGTCGTGACTTGTGACGTCATGCCGGAAGTGAGGCACAACGTAAGAATCTGTCCCCTCCCCCCCCCTCCCCTGTTCTCTGAGGGTGAATCAAATTATGCTCTTTCTCACTGTCCACAGTTGACCCCTAAAATGTGTGTGTAGCTTTGTTCTCATGTAAGTATTAATGATTATGCGTGCATATGTGTATTTATACGTATGCCTATGTATATATGAATGTTCTTAGCTCCATCTGGTTTCATTGGAGGGTACTATAGGCTTGCTGTATGTCTGTGTGTCTGTCGGTCTGTCATCAGTCAATACACGAAGTCACTGGGGAGAGTTACATGATATCTGACATCAGATTGTTATGCTAGGTCAGGTTAGGTAAGATTAGCTTATATTAGGTTAGCTTAAGAGAGTAAGGTTATGTCAGGGCAGATTAGGTTACATTAGTTTAGGTTAGGTTAGGTTAGGTAAAGTTAGGTTAGGTTAATTTATTTGGGTTGCTATGTTAGGTTAGGTTAGCTAAAGCTATGTTTGGTTAGGTTAGGTTAAGTTTGGTTAGAAAATGTGAGGTTGTTGGCTTAGGTTAGGATGTTTAGTCTTGAGGTGATCCTCCATATGACCTGTGTCTGGGGATCATTCTAACAACTACAGTATTTTGGTCTTAGTCGTTTTCTTTCAACCAGGTTCATTATTATATGAGAACGTTTTATGGTTTGTGGCAGACAATTGAGCTACAACACTTTTGCGGACGATATCATCTCCGTCCCATCCTACTTCCGGGGGTAAGTTCTCCCAAGAATAGTTTTTATAACTATTGAATCACCATCCACTTAAAAGGTCAGTGTTCAAGGTTATAC